TCCTTTTTTATACCTGGTATCCCCGAAGTGTCTCTTGCAGGACTGGCTTATTCATGTCCATTAAGTACAGCAAAAGGAGGCTGCACAGCAGAGGTCAGAGCACTGCGTGGAGCCAGTCTGCCAAGTGACAGCCTGGCCCTGCCATTTATTGACTCCATGACCTTAAGTAAATGTCTTCATTTCACTGTCCCTTCGCTTCCGCATCTGTAAGAAGTGAAAACAGCAACTACCTCATGGGTTGGCAAAGATTAAACGAACTAACACTAACAAAACACTTAGAGCACCTGGAAAATAACTACCATTCAACAAATATTATTATTATGTTTACTATTAACATTAATTTATCAGTATTAGAAATAAATCAATATAAATAAAATTACATAAATATAAATTATTATTATAATGGTAATTATTCTCATTTGCTTTTTCTTGACCTTTCTGAGTGATTTTCTTGCATTTTCTAGATATTTATACTTTGTGAGTTTTACTAGTTACAAATACCTTAAGCAAGTTTCTCACCTGTCTGCTAATTTTATCTCAAGTGTCTTTTCATTCAATGAGAATTTTTTATTTTGTAGTCAGACTTTTGGCCATACGCTTTGGGTACTTGGGAGTTTTGTTTAAGAAAACTTTTCTCTCTCCAACGGCACAAAGGGATTCTACATTTTCTTCTTACATTTAATTTCATATTTTGTTCCACGCTGGTCCTGGGATGAGATCTCCTGGACGTCCCTGAACTAACTGGTCAGTCTCTCATTCACTCGCTCAGCACACTTGTATGCAAGGTCTTAGAGCAGGTACAGAACGCAGAGAAGGTTGGGGCCAGCCCGGTGGCGCACTGCTACAATGCGCCGCTTGGGAGTGCAGCGGCGCTCCCGCCGAGGGTTCGGATCCCACATACAGACCGGTTCCCGCTCACTGGCTGAGCGAGGTGCGGGGGCAGCGCCAAGGGTTGCGATCCCGTTGCCGGTCCCGGTCCGGTACGTGCGCGACACTGAGGGTTGCGATCCGTTGCCGGTCACGAAAAAAGACAAAAAGGAAAAAAGAAAAGAAAGAAAGAAAGAACGCAGAGAAGGTTGATAGTTTGTCACTCAGTGGGGAAATGAAGGGCTAAAGGATGTGGTATTTACCCTAAACACAGTAAGAAGGTAGAATGGGGGAGAGCACAGGAGTGACAAGGTGGAGGAGGCTTTGCTGAGGAGGTGGGACTTGAGCTGTGCCTTGTGGGGACGGGGTTAGAGGCCAATAGGAGAAGGGAGGGCACTGCTGGAGAGGGAGGTTGCCATGGCGGGAGCAAAGCTATGGCGCTGCGGTGGGGAAGGCAGTGGAACAGCGAGGAGATGCCCCTGATGGAAGCAAAACACAAGCACTGCTGAAGAGCAGGGGCTCTGCAGGCCAAGCAGAGGCGCTAGGATTTGACACGACATTCGAGATACTCCTCACTAGTGCACGTGTGTGTGTAGACAGGGAGACAAGGAGGGGAGGAGACGTGTCAACCTCAGGGTCAGATTTGTAATATGGGTTGGGGTGCGGGGACAAACTAGGAAGACCAGGCAGATGACAAGTGTGAAAATCATCTCTGGTAGTGGGAAGAACCCCACCAGGTCAGGTAGCAGAGATTCAAGTGCAAGGTCATAGGACGTTTTCAGGAAAGAAACAATGGCAGGTGTTTGTAATCCGGAAAATGAAGCACAAAGAACGCTCCCAAGTCTTCAGGCCTAGGATTACAAAGAACATGGCAGCCCCTCGCTGGTGTTCCATGGGGGAGGCAGGGTACAAGTTCCTTGAGTGTCAGGGCTAAGTCTTACACATTGTGGTTTCAGTGTACAGTAACCGACTCTTAGCAAGAGCTTGACAAACGTTTAATAAACAAATGAACATGTGGATTTGGAAGTAATGACTGGACATTCCAAAGGAAATGTGACTTGGACAGCTGCAATACAAACTGAAGGATGGACATTGGTATTGCCCACCCCACGCCTCACTCCCAGCACCCATGGGGAGAAGGAAGAAAAGTTAGTAACGGTGACAGAGAAGGGACAATCAGGGAGGCAGAAGAACAAGGGATGTTAGTGTCTTGGAATCTTAGGGAGAGTTTGGAGAAGTTTGGTGGTATCACCAAATCCCACAGAATCACATGGTGGTCACTGGCAGGTTTTTGGAGAGCACAGCATGGTGACACAGAGCTTAATATTTATTGATGGGGGAGGGGACGGTATCAGCCACGCAGCAGTGTGCTTATGGACGAGGCTCCTGCACTGGACTGGCTTCCCACGGCCTTAGAATACATCAGGAAGTGTTTCTCCAGCGCTAGCTATGGAGCCACCCATGCTGGGTGCTGGAGGCAAGGACACACGTACAGGTCTGACCTGACCTTCACGAATCAGGCAACCTGAGTGTCTGACCTGAGATCATGTGGTACTGGGAATTAACTGGATTTTAGGAAACCAAGAGAAAGTTCAGATATCCTTTGAATGAGGTTCGAGGTACCTGCCTGACCTTCCTCTCCATTTGCATAGGTTTAAGGGTTGTGTCTCAATTACCTTTTATACCAAAAAAGTCAATATGTGCTGCCATTAAACAATCTTTAAAAAGTATAACCAGTCACAAAATATTTGCGTGAACTATATTAAGCTTACTCAGGCATGGTTTATTGGCTTTTATGACAACGTATCAAAGCTTGTTGTATGCCTTGTAGATTGCTGCTGGTGGACAGCCAGGTTGGTCTCAGCCTGGTGCTGCTGGACAAGGTCATCATAGAACGGGTCTGAGAGAGGGGCCTTCAGGAAGAACAGAACCACGTGGCTCTGATTTTCTAAGTTTGCCAAGAGAGCACTGGTCCTCGTCTTCTCCGTGCAAATGCCCAATCTCATTCATTCAAGTCCTGGGAAGAGCACACATGCTGGGAAGACAGTGGCCATGCCATCACATTCAGGAGTTGTGTGGTCTGCTCATCTCCAAGGCCTGGCACATGGTCACAAGGTTTTTCACTGGGTTCCAAGTACAAACCAGAAGGCAGCTTGTCATCGGGCTTCTTTGAAGAGTAGTAGAGTTCTAGCAAGGCCACTCTACTGACCAGCCTATTTCTAAAGCTTCAAGGTGTTCAGTCATGCACTGAGCTTTAGTCACCTTTAAAAATTCATTGGTTATTCCTAACTTTTGTAATTTCTCAAAGGCGTTTTCTTTAATGGGCCATCTGAACGGGCTGTTGGGTCATGCTTGGATTTTTCTACTAGGCTGATTATAGGCTTCTTTATGGGATAAAAGAGGGCTCAGAATTCTGGACCTGCACACTCTACCTGGCAGCCCAACACGTGGTGCATATAGTTTTCTGGCCGACTCAAAAGCTGCCCTGCACTGTGGGCAAGAGCAGGCTGTGGCACAGGCACAGCATCAGCAGGGACACAGAGCTTCTCCTGTCCCGGCCCGGCTACCCCAAGCACTCACTAAAAACTGCCAGCGACTGTGCTTTGCAATGACATACATCATAGTAGTACATGAGGCATGACAGGTGACGCTGGTAGGAATGCCAGGTAGGTGTAGGTTTAACAAGCATCACAGGCTTCCTTCACCTGACTCACAGCTGTTTGAAGGTGCGTGTGCCAGTGGGATGCAAGACAAACCTTAACGCATGGAGAGGAGGCTGGGATAGGGCCCAGGCCAGATCAAGGCCACTTGTGATAAAACGTAGCTACAGACTTACTAGTAGTGACCAGGTGATGTGCTTACGATGGGTTGGTGGCATGGGAACGTGAATTAGACTAATTGAGGAAGGGAAGTAGAAAGAACCTCCACACTAGTAAGCACAGCAAGTCCTTGAAACCCCTCACATCTGCTAGAAAATCCACTGAAACAGAGAAGGTTTGCTGTATATTCAAGGACATTCCTGGAGAAGGGCACTGTCCCACCCCACACCTCTGTACTGTTCATTTTTAGTGCACTGGGGATTCTTGGACCTGGGCAATTCCTGAAACAAAGAGTCTGGTTACTTTTACTTAGTGTTAAAAATACAAAGGCGTTTAAAAAATAGGACAAAATAAGCTAATGTAAAACATGTCATTTTGGAAGAACTTGTTAGATTCATCTAGGAACATTCATCTGGGAAGTTCAGGGCTAAACTTCTCTGGCCATGTCTTGCCAAACCATGCACTGTGAGAGCCACACTGGGCAGTGTGAGAAGAGGTTCAGAAGAACTGCTCCAGGAGGTGTGGCAATCACCTTTGCAGAACATTAGGTGCATTTTATTACTCGAACTAATTTTTCAGTCTTGGTTCTTTACATCCTGTGCACTCTCAACGTCAGACATGGTGTGCTGTTATAAATCTCACATTGCTGCATTCCACTTGCTGAACCATCAGTCACACTGCTGGGCAGTGGCAGGTGCTTTTCTTGCACTAGACTAGCATTCATGATGGCCCAGCTTCCCTATAAATTAGCCCCTGGGAAAAGCTCAATAACAGCTGCTTCCCTACTAACACTTAACAAGTCAAAGCCAGCCTACATTGTGTAAAGAATTACATCAGCAGAAAAGAGTAGAAATCAATTGAAAGATTTTTGTTCTAAGAATTCTCTTCTGGAAACAATGGCCCAGTGAATTGACTCTTCTATTCCATCCGATCTAATTTTTTATGTAGCCACAAACATAAACATGCCAGAAAGAAAAATGACCATAAAATGAAGCTGGCGTGAGAAGAAACCGCTGATTATGAAGGCTGTAAGACTGTCAGTGATGCAGGGAGCAGGCGTCCACAGTGGCACCTTTCAGGGCTCTCCATCCACAGCCGTTATTTGTGCTCTAGTGATGGCTGGACATCAGAAAACACCGAGTGCCCAGCAATGACTGGAAGGCAGGAGCTGGGGAAGTGAGGTGGGCTGCGAGCACAGCCCCGTTCAAGCAAGCACATTTCTGCACAAATAACAACTCCAATAAAAACTGTTTCAAGTAGAGCCTCCAACTGGAACGAGAGTCAAAAAAAAAAAAAAAAACTCATAAAAAGGAATTAGGGTAATAATTGTTGGAGGTTACCAGAGGTTTATTTGGAATGACACAGCACTGAAAACATAATTGTTACAGGTGACTTGTGGATACAGCATACATCAGGCATCTTATTTTAGGATGATCTGTGAAGACGAGTTGCATAAATATAAAGAGGTGGAAATATATAGGAGCTGTTTTATAGTGTTCTTCTGGGGGTGGATTAATATGCCCCATCTTCTAGCCCATCTCATAAAGGCAGAAGTGAAGACAACTTAGCTGCTGATCGCACTAGCCGACCTCCAGCCACAGCCGCTGGACAGCTAGATCGCCAGCCCTGCTTTCTCAGAAAGAGTAGCAGCTTGGACATGCTATTCATCACCCTGAAAACTGCACATGACACACACAGATACCGTTGAGTGTTTTGGCAATGGGATGGCTGGTTTTGCCCAGAGGCAAAACTGCAGCTGTATTTCCAGACAGAAGAAGAGCAATGCATGTATCAGTGACACTCACGTGGCGAAAAGCAATGATGGAAAGAGAGCAGCCGTGTGTATGCAGCCTTCCACATACACACAGACCCAGCAGTCACAGGAACTAGCTCATATGAACTGGCTGTGTGTCCATATGTATATAAGTGTGTTGGAGAAAAACACTGAAAACTTTTGCAGCAGTCTAGTTTCAAACACAGTAAACTTGAAAGGGAGAGAGCACAGGCTCCCGCCTGGGCAGGGGCATGAGATAATTGGTACTATCACCACATCTGCTGCAGGGCAGCCTCTCAGCTGCGTGCAGGGAAATTAAGGTCTGGGTTGGAGAAAGCTACTTTAGAGTTGGAGGGACGGGATCAAGTACGAGTACAAGAGTCTCCACAGCTCAGACAAAGCACAAACCTGTTATCAACAACATGGGAGTGAGAGAGGACTTGTCCCCTAATTTACTTTTGCTCCTCACAGTTTTTGCACTCATGCTCTATTGATAGGTCTTCCACAGCTTTGCCTGGCATCAGTCTGTAAATCGTTAAGAGCATAACAGCAAAGGTGAACTCTTCAGGTTTTCACAAAGGTTTAAAAGCCCAGTATCCGAGCTCTTTCTGCAACACTTGTTGCTCTAATCCAAGCGTCGGGTGAAGTTCTCTGGAAAGAGGCCCTTGTAGGTGGCAAGGTCTCTGTACTGGAGCCAGTCTGATTCCTTCACTCCCACCAGCCAGCCTGCGTCCTGCAAGATAACAACAGGACTTTCAGGGCCCAGCAAACTACTGGAAAATTCCACACTGCGACAATGAATAAAATAATTTGTTACATTTGTGCTGTGGTTCTGCAGGAGACTGTCATGTTACATGTAAATTGGTGTGCTGCGATCCCAAATAAATTGTGAATTAAGAAAACAACTAAAGAAAAAACACTTGAAATTACTCATTTAATGTGTAATGTATAAAGATTAATATTATGATTTTGAAGAAAGCATAGTTAATTGACATTAACTGAATTATGATATGATTTCTGCAGGAAGGGGAAAGGATTAGCATTATAGCCAGTGCAAACAGACGAACACCATGTGAAAGCATTACATGCACAAGGACAGTACCTATCCTGGGGATCAGTGGCTTTGGGACCCTTGGGTTAGGATATAATGCTGACAAGGCCATGGAAGGTCTTGTATTTCATCCAGTGCCACTTGGTTATAAGAAAGAATTCTGTCCCCCAACTCCATCAGATAACCCAGATAAACCACATTATGTAGGACTTATCAAATACTAAAAGCTGGACATGTGTTGCCTGATATTACTGCTGTTGTCATTGTCGTAATACCTATATTTTCAAGTTTATATAAACTACAGAGCAGCTTGATGTCATGGTATTCTTGTTGGAGACATTCACATATTCTTTTAAAATTATTCCTCATAAACATTTGTCTATCATATAGCAGTGCCATCATAAAAATGAAGAGATTTAGCCACAGAAAGCTTAAAGAATGCATCCATGCATGGCCACACAGAATGGGAGATGACACTTAGAGCAGAACAGAGCTGCTGTCTGCCATTGGCCTCCTGAAGAGAAGCAGAGACTGGCTGGAAAAAGTCGAATTAAGGAACAACTGGAGACATACAGACTGTATGAAGGGAAACTAGTGGGAGATGACTACTTTCATTGTGTTAACCAGCACAGGAAAGAGAGTCCTCTTAAGATGAAGGGTGGACACATTTAATTTAAGCCAATCCCCAACATAGTTCAAGTACATCAGATAAAACAAGCTCCCCAAAATTAAATAAAGAAGCTGAATATATTCCCTTTTGGTATAATCTGAGATCATAAATTGATGCTGCCATATAGACAAGACAGGACAATTTCTGGAGGCAGAAAAAAAAATCACTTGGAAAAAAATGACTCAATAAAATAACTGATAATATCCTAGGCTGATGAAGAAAAGTACCCTTTTAAAAATTAGGATGTTATTTATGTGAGGGACAAAGATATACTTAAAGTAAAAGATGGTTATTAAATATTTTTAAAACCTCTACTAAGCATATAAAATGTCATTCTTCTCCCCACAAGTGTCTATATTTGGTTTTATTTACACTGAGTAAAAAATTTAATGGAGCCAAGTACAGTCAAGGATTTTAAAACTGTTTCAATAAAGAAAAAGGTAAAGGACAGCCACAAACCCATAACCAAGATATATTCCAATACATATATTCTGAAATACAACTAATACCATAAAGTGAAAAATATTAGTCTATACCTTATGCTGAGGAAAATATGGGCAATTAAATTTCACTGCATAAAATATATGGTAGACAAGGATCTCCAGTTTTAGTAATGGCAGAAAAACTTGTATTAAACAAATGCTTCTGCACACAACAATTATAATCACTAAAACAACCACATGTCTCTAGATGTCTGCAGATACATATGTATACATGTATGTAACTGTTTATATATACAAGCAACTATTTGTTATAAAACATATAATATAAAATATGTTTATATATCATGGAGTAGGTATGATGGGGCTGTATATACATATATAACAACTACTTGAAGGCACAAAGAGCAACTACAAGCAGGCAGAAATGGGGGAATATTTAACCCTTGAAAGCAGAAAACTGAACTTGGTGAGAACTAACCTCATACAGCTTTTCTCTGAGCATTATCCTCAGGCCATGTGATGCAGGGCACTTGGGATAGAGTTTAAGGCTGTCAGAGCAGCTGGACATTTAAGTGGGATATCTTGAAAAAGAGGGAGCCACAGGGGGTCCCAAAATATGCAGAGATACTTTTTCCCAAGATCCCTGGGGAAAGCAACAACTGGAAGGCTAGAAAAAGCACTGCCAACGGTGATGGGACGGAGTTTAGAGTGTGAATCTCACCAAGATAGGGGCCTTGATATGCCCCTCAGGATTTCTACTGAAATTCTAAAAGGGAAATAAAGAAAGGAAACTATGTTAAAGAACAGCATGGAAATTATAGAACTGCATAAATATAATAACCAAAATGAAAAAGTCACTGGATAAGCTTAACAACAAATTCAAAGCGACAGAAAAAAGGGTCACCGTACTTGAAGACAGACCCATAGAAATTATCCAAACTGACTACCAGATATAAATATTGAACAAAAAAAGAACAGAGTCCTAGACATCAAGAAGTCCAACATACGTATAATTGGAAACCCAGAAAAAGAGAAGAAAGAATGAGGCAGAAAACAATTGAAGAAATAAAAGCTGAAAGTTTTCCAAATATAGCGGAAAACATCAGGTTACAAGTCTAAGGAGCTCAGTCAACCCCAAGTATGATAACCACAAAAAAGGAAACCCCAACACACTTAGACATTGTAGTCAACCTGATGAAAATCAAAGATACAAAGAAATTCTTAAAAGTAGTCGGGGAAAGTCACACAGTATATGGAGAAACAAAACTTAAAAAAACAACAGCTGATTTCTAGTTATGAACAGTAGAGACCAGAAAACAGTGGAACAACAGCTTTAAAGGGTTGAAAAAGAAAAAAAAAGTCAACTAAGAATTCTTTCTGTAGCAGAAGTATCTTTTAAAATGAAGATGAACAAAGACACTTTCAGATAAAAACTGAGCGGATTTGTTGCCAGCAGATCAGTACTGCAGGAATTGCTGGGGGAAGTTTTCAAGGAAATGGGACCAGAAGGAAACTCAGATTTATAGGGAGGAATGAAGAACACTGGAAATGGTTAAGCATGTTGGTAAATATAAAAAACTAGCTTTTGTCCCCCTTATTTCACTAAAAGATAACTTGTGCTTAATGCAAAAATATATGTCTGCACAATGAGATTTTTAATGCCTTCGAGGTGTGGAGAAACGTCGACACTGCCTCATACAGGCAACTGATGCTTTGTCACTTTTCTTCTTCAAGAGTCTTTTAAGGTTTTAATAATCTTATTCATCATTTCAAAGAACCAATTTTTGGCTTTATTAATTTTCTCTATTGTGTGTCTTTTTATTGCATTCATTTGTGAATTTATTTTTGTTATTTCTTTCCTTCTATACACTTATATAACCTCTTTTTTATCTTCTTAGGCTTAAAACATAGCATCAATGATCAGTTTGAAATATTTTTATTTTTTTGCTTTTTATTTTATTTGATTTTATAGAATATCCATGAAATACAAAGCTAATTGCCACCCCTTCTGCCCATGATATGAGGGCCATATTCATACTGGGGGAATACACATTACCAGAAATTATATTTGTATCCTGTGTCCCTGCCCAATTATCACCCAACCTCCCTCCCCCTCCCCCTTACCGCCCTTCCCTTTGTAGCACTAGGAATGTTCCCTCCCATTGTAAGACCATGGCACTACTGTGGTCTTTCCTTCCTTCCATTCTTAGCTCCTACATGAGTGAGCACATGCAGTATTTATCTCTCTTTGCTTTGCTTATTTCATTCAATATGTTTCTCCAAGCTCATCCATGTTGTTACAAATGGGAGTATTTCATTATTTTTTATGGAAGAGTAGTATTCCATAGTATATGTATACCACAGTTTCCTTATCCAATCATCCATCGATGGATATTTAGGTTGGTTCCATATCTTGCTTATTGTAAACAGAGCTGTGATGAACACAGGAGTGCAGTTATCCCTTCAACATGACGATTTCCATTCCTCTGGGTATATACCAAGAAGATGGATTGCTAGATCGTATGGAAGATCTATCTGTAGTTGTCTGAAACCTTCATACTGTTTTCCCTAGTGGTTGTACTAATTTACAGTCCCACCAACAGTGCAGGAGCATTCCCTTCTCTCCACACCCTCGCCAGCATTTGTTATTCACCGTCTTTTTGTTTACAGCCAGTCTAACAGGAGTGAGATGGTATCTCAATGTGGTTTTAATTTGCATTTCCCTGATGACTAGTGATGTTGAGCATTTTTCATGTATCTTTTGGCCATTTGTATGTCTGCCTTTGAAAAATGTCTATTCAGCTCCTTTGCCCATTTTTTAATTGGGTCATTTTTTTTTTTTTTTTTTTTTTTTTACTGTATGATTGCTTGAGTTCTATGTATATTCTGGATATTAGTCCCTTGTCGGATGCATAGTTAGAAAAATTTTTCTCCCACTCTATAGGTAGTCTTTTCACTCTGCTGATTGTTTCTTTTGCTGTGCAGAAACTTTTTAGTTTGATATAGTCCCATTTGTTTATTTTTTCTTTTGCTGCTTGTGCTTTCAGGCTCATGTTAATAAAGCCTGTGCCCAGATCTAATTGCTGAAGTGTTTCATATATATTTTCCCTTAGTAATTTTACAGTTTTAGGTCTTATATTTAAGTCTTTAATCTATTTTGAGTTGTTTTTAGTGTATGGTGAGAGATGCATATCTAGTTTCATTCTTTTGCATATGGATATCCAGTTTTCCCAGCATCACTTGCTGAAGAGGCAGTCTTTTCCCCAATGTAGATTTTTGTTGCCTTTGTTCAATATCAGATGGTTGTAAGCCTGAGGGGTGATTTCTGGGTTCTCAATTCTATTCCACTGGTCTAAATACCTATTTTTATATGAGTACCATGGTGTTTGGATTACAATAGTTTTGTAGCATAATTTGTAGTCAGGTAGTGTTATGCCTCCAGGTTTATTTGTTCTGCTCAGGATTGCTTTGGCTACTCGGGGTCTTTTGTTTTTCCATGTGAAAAGTAAGATTGTTTTTCCCATTTCTGTGAAGAATGTCATTGGTATTTTGATGGGGATTGCATTGAA